ACGTTTTCGTACTATCCGACCACCTGTGGTTGAGCAGTTTCTTCCCCGTCGAGTTTGCAACTCCAACTGCTGTCGCAGTTTTGGGGCCTGATCCTCTGCGACTTCACCGACTGTGACAGTTAAGGAAAGTGAGCCTCTGCGACTTCTGCAGCTGTCACAGGTAGGGAGCCTGAGCCCCTGCATCTTCTGCACCTGTCGCAGTTCGGGAGCCTAGAAGCTGCCACTGCCCAGCCCGGATGGAGCAAGTGTAGTTGGTAGGGGGGGGTGGCTAGTAGTAGTAGTAGTAGTAGTAGTAGTAGTATAGTAGTACTACCTAGTAGCAGCAGTAGCAGTAGCAGTAGCAATACTTGGCATTTGCATATTGTCAGGATACACAGGCTCCATTGTGGACGCGGCGTGCTCCCGCGCAGAAGATGAGCAGCGCATCCGTGAAGAGATCGGAGACAAAATTCAGGTTGTGGATTACGCAATTGAGGCGCACGTTAGTAATTCAATTGCGACGTCCGTAAGCTCTGAAGCCTGATTTGGGTATTGCAATAAATCAACAAGCTTCTCCAAGGAGTCCTCCCCTCACAGCACGCCTTCAGTCCAAGTGTTGGCTTAAAGGCAAACTCAGGTGTATTCGCACCATAAATGAATTGAAAGTCCGTTCCGAAAAGCAGAGAACATGTGCTGCATCCGGGCATTTCGGCGAGAAGCCCTTGTGGCAGTTTTGGAACTCGGGAGTGCATATGGAGACTTGAGCACTTGAGAAAAGTTGTCGTCCGCCAGGTGCTTATGTCAGCAGGCATGTCAACGCCCACTTTGCGGGAGATTGCTTCCAAGGGCGTCAGCATCCAACAGGCTGCCACTCCGGCACTCGCTCTGCCGATGCTGATGTTCGGACCTTTCCTCGCCATAACACTATTTACACTCGTGTTGGATGCCATTTATTTGGACAGTTTTTGGACTTGGAGGCTGGTTCCACTGAGAACCTTAACCTCTTTGGAGCGTATCTTGATGATACTCTTGATCCGGCAGTCGCCCCGAGACGAGCGGTGTTTTGATTACCTGGTGATACAGAAGTGTGCGGTGGTCTACCTTGCAGTCTTCACGCCTTCGATGTTTCAATGCGAGATGGTTGGGAAACTGTCCTACCAGAAAGACAGCATGTGGTTTGTGATCCCACCGGTGGCCTACACGACGATGTTTATTTTCGTACTGCTCGGTTTCAGACGTACTGCAAATCTTTCCTGTGGACTCGGCCTGTGCCTAGTTCAACTTTTCCTGGCTCGGGACCCATACGTTCAGCTAACGGCTGCAGGCCACTGCATACGGCGCAAAAACACTGCCGCTGAGAGCCCAAAGAGCTCAGACTCCGAGTCCGGGACGTGGAGCGGCGCCTGAGTCTCCATGCAGCTGACACTGACACTGCTCTTGGCGGCTTGGCGCGAACTTCACACAAAAAGAGAGATGAAACAGGCGTTTGGTTCAATATGTAAAGTCATCATGCAGGGTTTCCAGAATTATTTACTGGCATCCGCAGGCTATACCTTGAGCTCCTCGAAGATGATCCACGTGTTGACACAGTGACAGTGAGAAGCAACAGAACGTAATAAGCAAGGCGAGGAATAGGACCAGATGCGGCATTTCTGCGAAATGTCCGGATTCGTGAAGACTTACAACATGCTTGTAAAGGAGACTCCACGTCCGAACCAACCAACTCACACGGTCGAGTGATGCCGAGCGCGTGTGCCATGGGAGATGCAGATGGCGCTGTCTACTGACGAGCGGCTTGCCAGACATCGAGCGGTCACAGAAGTAGTGGAGGTCAACATGATCGCACCAGCAACATCTCATCAGTAATTCATGTACATGATTTTGGTCTGTGCTTGCGGCGATTTCGCCATCATAGTCATGGTCTTCCCTACTGCTCAGTGCTCGAGTTCAAGGCATGAATACGAAAAAGTCAACTACCCTCAGCAAGTTGGCTTGGGATGAAGATGATGCTAATGACAATCATCATCAGTAATATTATATAATAATGACAACCATAATCATGATGATGATGATGATGTGATGATGATGATGATGATGATGATGATGATGCTGAAGGTAACACTTCTACCTGGGCTGCATTGAATATGTTTCGAAGCTGAATTGAAGCAGCTTTCGCTGGAATGAGCTTGACAACAACTCTGCAGCAAGCAGGATACTCGTTACAAGCACCTCCTCCACGTTCCCGCACACCCCATGGCCCTGAAACAATTATTTCAAACATCTAGCTCTAAGCGAGACTTGCTACGACATCACCATGGGGTTGGGATTCCTTGGGCATCCACAGTGGTCCGATTCTACAGTCGTGTCGGGGAGAGACACCGGAATCTAAGGGATGGCCATCCCCTCCCCGCAGCTTCTGAGCACTAAGGGCCACATGGCCCTACGAGGTGGACGATGGTGCCCTCCGGCAAGAAATAGATGGTTCCGTGGTCCTTCAGAAGCCCTTTACGCCAGCGTGGACTCCTAGCAGTAAGAGACAATCTATACCCAAGAACCATGGCCAAATCCTTTTACCCTAGTCCTAGGAACCCCATGGTGCTACCACGCTGTTTCGGGAAAGTGTCGGGAAGGAAAAGCGGAAGGTAGATGAATGTGCCCGGTTTTCTCATTGCTTCGACTCTTTTGGCTCTGACATGTATCCAAAGATGGTGTGAGGGCTAGCGCTGTGGTGTTCAGACGTTGATGTTCGCTCCGGGTTTGCAGATCCAGGTGACTTACATCACGAGCTTACGGGCTCGCGGACACATGGAAAGACAAGCATGCGGTCTTTGTCCATTCGACACAGATTGGCAACTTTCGAAGAACATTTCTTAATAACTGCCTGGAGACCTAAGCGCGTCCCACAGTTCTGCATGCCACTAGTTCAGCAAGCCGGAGCCCAGCCAGAGCGTCCGCAGAAGTGACCGAGGATCACTTCGAAACTTCGGCAGAAGCATACCACGACATTCTACCGCTGCTCCGCTGCTGTGGGGAAATATTGTTTATTGGAATCGGGCATGCAGTGTCTGAGAGGTTACTTCTAGTTCGGGATGCCAGTTGCGAATGTATTCGGGGACTCTGCTGCGTGCTACATGGATGATTTGTGGAAGGGCTACACATCTGCAGATGGCAACTCCAGAATCCTCCACCCTGAGCTTCTGCTATATACCCTAGATGCCATCATCCTCACGGCCTCTCGAAGGCAGTTTGAAAACAAGGTACCCCTGCAGTTCCTGTAGACTCCTTCCAAGGCTGCTTCGCTGTGCCGCAAGGCTCCGCGGCCTGTCCGCAGAGGATTTGAAGGCCGTTGAAAGACTGTCGGGTTGAGGGCGTTCAAAGCGAATATGTCAGCAAATCGAGCTGCCAACACCAGGCCCTGGTTCATTCAATTACTCCACATTGCCCTATATTTGTTTGAACTTGAGCAGTGTCAGGCTTTGCCAGTCTTCGCGGGTTCATATGCCTGTCTGCCTAGCTCAGCTTCTGCCATGGCCACGTCCTTTGACCCTCCAAAGCCGTCAAAAACCGCAGTGGCACCCCCCGACTGCATGCCTGGCGTTGCCGCAGATCTACGACCCGTACTACTGCAGTGGCCGCGCAAAGCGATTGCTGCAGGCCTCAAATGATATTGGGGCTGCGGGGGATTGTGCTGGTGTTCGCGGTTGGTTGGGGTAGGCAGGAACACCATCCCTCTCTCCCACCGAACATGCCCGTGTGCGAGTTGGTGCAGCTTGCTGTCAAGGGGTGTGCATATGGCATAGGTTCAGGCTGCGCCACTGTTGTTGGCAGATACAGTCTCGTGTTTTGCCTCGATTCGGGCCAAGTAAGCCAAAGCCGCAAGTGGATGCGTTGGAGCCACACGCGCTCCGAAAATCTGGTCAGGCAAGACCAAGGCCACTGTTGAGCATAGGTGATGAAGCGAGCGACGCGCCTCGTGGCTGTGGGAAACCACGCCCGGTGTATGATGCGATCCCGCTTACGAGTCCGACTTTGCAGCTTCGGAAGGGCGGCTCAAGAGCTCCCATATATTTGGTCGTGGCGACTCTGTCGCGAGTGTTCAAGCGCCGGCGGTGCTCACAGATGCGGGTGCCCGTGAAGTGGTGCGCAGGAGCTTGACGGTTCAGTGTTTCTGGGCCCGACCAGGCTGTAGTGGCAAGGAGTGGGAGGAAGAGCAGTGGTGCTCGCTGGCGAGTAGTTGGGTGTCGTACCTGCAGCCTCTGCTCGGTTCCTCTCCGTTGAGAACTGGCTGAGGGTTGCTTAAGAAAGGTCTTGCGTGTGAAGGCAGCTGGCACTCTGCGCCGGCATCTACCGGGCTTCAAGCTTTGGATGGACTTCGTTCACGGAACTGACCTAGTGACGCCGTTGGTGCGGGCTGATACTCTGGTGAAGTTCTTTGACTGCGTGCACAAGCTGAGCCGGAGTGCGATTGCTCCATTGAGATCCCTCAAGTTTGTGGCTGCCCTGCTGGGTTGGAGCAGCTTGCTGGAGACTTTGGAGAATCCAGTTGTAGCTGCTTGTTCAGGTAGCGCAGATGCGGGAAGCGTAAAGAAGCATTGCCGCGTGCAGTGGCACAAATGGAGGCGGCTGTGCATGCAGCTGTGAACCAAGGCGATGAGCTAGATCCGTCCACCTTCATGTGTGTGGTGTTCATGGTTATGATTTGGGGGGCTCGTCGTTTTTTCGGATGCTCCGCGGGTTGTGGTGTCTGCGATGGACATTGAGCAGGGCATCGTGTGCTGTAGGTGTTGGAAGACGAAGTCATCCAAATCGTCGATGCCTTGGGGCTGTTTGACTGTGCGCATCTACGATGATACCTGGTCCGCTTGGTGGCCGTGCCTCGTTCACCTTCGCGCAAGCTCAGCTGAGGCGCATTCTGGTGTCCGTGGGCGGAGTGCCTGAGCAGTTAGCAGGCTTTTATACTTTGCATAGTTTAAAATTGACGGGTTTTTGCTGGGGTTTGCAGCTCGATGTCGATGGGCGCGCTCGTCGCTTGGGGTCATCATCGGGCACGCGAAGGCGGCGAGGCGATGGTTCAGAAGTATGGACGTGATGATGTACTTCCTGCGTTGAGGGCGCAGCTCGTGGTGGCTCGCGCAATCAGAGGCGGCTGGTGCCCTTTGTCTCCTCAGGCTCGAGGCGCACGCCGGCCATGCCCGGAAGAGCCGCTTGAGCCAAGGCCTGGGCCGCTGGGGGCTGCCCCCTGAGGTCTGGAAGTTGGCGCTTGGGATGTGGAAGACACCGAGTTCGGAGTCGGAGGTGTCGGACGCGCCCTCGTCGGCTAGAGGCAGCACCTCTAGTTCAGATGTGGACGAGCGAGGGAGCGATGTTGAGGAGCGTGATTCGAGTGATCCACATGCTGTGGCTCAGTTGGTGAAGGGGAAGTTCCTTGTAAATTGTCGTTCGCATAGATTCCATGCAGTGGTTTTGGCGCACTGCGGCTCGCTTCGGCGAGCATGTGGTCCTTCGCAGTCGGTTGACGAGGTGCATTGGGAGGTGTGTGACGAAGACCCATCCTTCCTTGTGGAGGCTTATGTGCCTTGTGGACGTGGAGCATGTGGACTGCTCTTGGGCGAAGAGTGAAAAGAGGGGCCTGGTGAGCATTTGCGCTACTTAGCCAGACTCCCGCCGCAGACGTGTGTCTGTTATGTGATCTTTGGAGAAGGTCACGATCTCGAGGGAGATCAGTGATGACGGGGGTCATCCAGTGGTGTAGTTAGGTTGCGTTTGTTTTCGCTGAGCCGCTAGGTTGCTAACTTTGCTCCGGGAGCAGACGTGTGTCTGCCTATAGTAACCCTTGGAGGGGTCGTGATCTCGAGGGAGATCAGCGATGACGTGGGTCATCCTGCTGTGCACAGCTAGGTTTGCCGTGTTTGGGACCACATGATGGGTTGGCTTGTTGCGCACGTCTTGTGATGCTTGGAGCCTCGTGTGCCATCCGCGCTGTAAAAGGTGTGCGGCATTGCTGCTTGACAGTTGGTGTCTTCTCTTCTCTTGTGCTTGCGCCATGGATTGCAAAAAAAATTCGAGGAACTGATCAAGAAGGTGGGTTTGGCGCCGGCGTTCACAAGGAGCTTACAGAGCGTGGCTTTGTCACAGCATCGGAGCTGTACTGGACGTGGCAGAGCAGCGCAGAGGAGACCTTTGGCTTGTCCATGCATCTTGCAAAATGTTAACACTGTCGGCGCCTGCACGTGTTTGGTCTTGGCTTGTTAGGATGGGTGAAAGGGTCGGCCTCCAAATGTGTGGCTTCATATTATGTAAAACAAGTAGAGTTGTGCAGCAAGGATGCCAGTGGAAACGAGTTCGTTGAGACCCAAAGTCCAAGCTTCTGATTTTCTCGAGTTTTGGAGAGTTGGAGACTGCCGCGTAGTTTTGCTTCGAGGGGGGGAAGCGCTGTTGCAGGACTGTCAGTGCTTGCTTGTGTGTGTGTGTTCACAACCAGCAAAGGAGTTTTTCAGTGCGCAGAGGATTTTGCAGCTCAGATCTGCTGGTTTTACGATATTGGGCTGAAGTGAGGATCCTAAATCGAATCTGTAGTTCAATGTCACCGCTTCGTTCTGTTTGGGCTTTGCGGAATCCCTTCCAGGTTCAACAATTAGAGGCAATCGAATTCCAATCCAAAGAAAACAGCCGCGTTGCCAAGGTCCCGCCATCAGATATCGGATTTGCACGGTTGGACACACGAAACCCTGAGCTCAGGCCTCGTCAAATGACATCATCTGAACGGCCTCACAAGCACTGTCGTAGACTTTGGTGCAAGGCTCCGCAAAGCGCCATCAAACAACTATCCGGAATGCTTGGATCCAAAGCTACAAAATCCTCTAAAACCTCAGCCCGAAACACGTAAGTTCCCAAGTTCTTCTTGCATTGCAAGGAGTTGGGCTTCCATCGCGTGGCGCATCGGCGCCGGGATTTCTACGCAGATATCGCTGCAGGCCGGCATTCGAGACTTTTAGATTTTTAGATGTGCTTTTGGTTCTAAATGGGAGTATTCGCAGCGTGTACCTTGAAAGGGATCCAAATTCCGGAATCCGGAAGCCGTTTAGGTTAACTCGGGTTCGAGTTTTTTTTTTAACCACATGATTAGTAGGAGCACTGGACACGCGTTTTGTAGAATTGCATCGTTATTTCCAAGAAAGGCAGTGTGTCAAGGTGTCATGTTCAGTCCAGGTCTTGGGGATTCAGTGCACTAATCGGGAGGGTTTCAGCTTTGACTTGAGGCTTGGCAAAAGGCCCCCACGAAAAAGACACTGGCCCGTTGGTTGTTTGCGCGCAGCCCCGAAGCTGCGAATTTCTGGAGCGATATGCCCCGATGAAGTCGCTGCGACTGAGAGCCAACTTTCGCAGGACCACCCAGGGCTAGGCACTGCAGGGTCAGAGATCTGGATCCTCCACCGAAAGGCTCGGGTTGTTGCGAGTTCATACTGTAGGTCACCCCTTGCGATTCTCAAAAATCGCCAGTAGCAGGCCAGGATCACGGGACGATTGCCAGGCCCCTTCTAGGACTTTAGCTTTCGCAGCCGGTCAGGCAAGATTCCGTCTTTTCACGCGAGGAGCTTACGTCGAAGTTACTTGCGGGCACCACCTTGGACCTGGCCTGACCTGCCGACTCTGCAGAGCTGCCTTAAGCAGAGAATCCGAGTGCCTCAGGGTGCCCCCGTTTTCAGCTTCAGGTTCTGGTGACAAACCCTCCTTACAGTGCTGACCACAAGGTGCGATGCGCTTAGGGCAGTGCTCTTTCGGATATGGGAGTAAGTTTGAGATGTTGCACAGCGCAGCAAAGGTTTGCAGTTTCTTGTTGCAAACAGAAGCGGTTCGTGTCCGACCCTAGACCCTGAAACGGCTGCCAGTTCCGACAGAGTCCGCGCAGCCAAACAGAACCTCGGACACTCGAGACTTCATGTCTGTATGACCAGTGCACTGTTCCGTGCAGTCGTTTTGCAGGGGACTTAGGCTTCGCAGATTTCTTGTGTTCATTCATGCATGGGACTTGGGGCTACATGGCTGCACAGCTGTCTTGCATGAATTTCTCGTCAGCCTTCCGGCTAGGACCAGTCACAGCTCAGAGATCTCTGAGAAAGTTACAATCAAAAACGTGCACGCACACAGAGACAGAGACAGTCAGCCTCTGGCTGTTCAAATCGCAGCTTCTTTCCACTCGTTCTCATGTACACAAGTGGCCCCTATGCTTAGGGTACACTGGGTCGGCACTATTCAGTAGAGATGCAGCAGAGATCTCGCTTCGAGGCTCCCGGTTTTGCAGGCAAACTTGATGCGTCGCCTCTGGATGACGGGCATATTCCAAGGGAGCTCAAGCGACGTAAGAATGTCAACGGTGCGTTCCACTGCCTTGTTTCTGCATGGCCGCTCTGCCCGATGCAAAGCATGCTTCTCGGATCTGTTGGGCCACGCGATGCTAGGTAGGAAGTCAGCATGTAGAGGATTGGCCAAGTCCCGCAGATCCTGGCTGAAGACTTGAGTTTCCTTAAAACTCCCAGGACCACGCTTCAGTGCAAGCCCAGCCTCGTTTCGAACATAAAGTCTATAGACTTCAGAGCAGGCTCGACGGCTCTCCTTTCGGTGGGCATGTGAGGTTGGCGGTGGTTCTGCAGCTGAAGCATTGGGTGCTGCGATGATAGAAGGGTCTTGAAAAATATGGTGCGGAAGAGGGCTCCCGATGCATGAAGTCTCCCGACTCTCCCCGTTTGGTTTCCAGCAAGTCCACGGCCAAGACGTTGACCTGAATCAGAGCCCATATTATGTTAGGTCTACATGATTTCAAGCTTTCAAAACCATATCTGCTAAATTCAGCAAAGCCCAAATACAATGGCCGAAACCCGGAGAGGCTAGCCTCAAGGAAGAATAAGACTCTTAAGCCAGAGTCGAGACGTTTGGCTGAGGTGGTCTTCGTCGCCCTGGGTTCCCGCGGAGACGCCCAGCCTTTGGCCGTGCTGGCAGGGAGATGTGGGCAGGGGTTGGGGCCCGCTTGGGGGTTTCAGGGCCCAGGACCGTCTAGCAAGTGCTTGCTCTTCCAGGCATGATGCGGAGCCCTGCGACTGTGTGTTTTCTGTTTTGGACTATGGACTTCGAGCAAACGTGAGATCACCCAGGTTGCTCTCTCAGTTCAGTTCCCCGTGGAAAAGGGCCGGGAAAAATCATTGGTTGTCCTATGCAATATTTTGGGGCCTGTTGGACGGACCGTGTGTGAATTCCGAGATGCGAGTTTTGGTCAAGATGTTCGGGCACATAACTCCGAGGCCCGAAATATCCTAAACATGAATGCCAAAAGACACTTAGACTTGGGCTTGTCGACTGAGCTTGCCGGAGCAGGAAACAAGCAAGAGCAGGCCCATAAACCTCTGCTTGCGCAGGGACACTGCGGCTGGAGCAGCACTATCATGCACAGTGACATCATAGTGGTGTTAAGGAGCAGCTTTCCCACATCCCTGCATCACACCGCTCGCACTCTTGTCCTCACGTTCATTCGTGTCATGCTAGGCAATGTCGTCGTGATCCTCCCCGTCGCAGAAATCCTCCTCCTTGTGAGCATCATCATCAGCAGCACCACCACTACGTAGCAGCAGTAGCTGCATCATCAGCATCTTTGTTGTTGACCGTCATGACTCTCACAATCTGCTCACAATGCTTGGCAGAGTGCTGAAGACCATTTATGGAGCTCTTGGGAGGCTTCCGCCGTTGCAGAGCGAGGCCTGCGAGTGTCCTTTGCCACCCACGCAGAGCTCAAAGGCGCGCTGCACAACCGAATGGGGTTCGTTTTCGCAAATTCTGGGGCTGAGCTTCGGGTGGCGGGTTCTGTCCAGGCGTTGAGTGATTTAAGAGTGGTTTAAGGCTTCGCTAGCATCTGGAGGGCTTTGCCGAAGTCAAGGTGCCTCTTGTGCATGCCAAGCAGTTCGTACCATGTGAAGCATCATTAGCGTATCGTCCTTCAGCAGCGAGTGACACCAAGCATGGCGAGTACATGCGGAGTGCGACATCTTTAGGTGTGTCGTGTCTACTTGAGGGGGCCTGCCGATGTGTGATGATTTAAGTTGCACCAGCTTTCATATGTCAACTTGTGTGATGCGTGTTTGCCCGCGCGTGTGTCCGTGCGCATGCCCGTGTCCGTGTGTGTGTGTTTGTGTTTGCGTGTGTATAAAGGTCAATGAAGGCAGGCTGTCTAGTGCTATACATACAATATATGGCACATGCGTCCATAGTGAACAACCGCCGAATCTAGCCCGAGCTTGGAAGTCCTTGTTTCGAAGAAGAGTCGACCTCGGTGCGCTCTTGGATTGAACCTTTTCGGAACAGATCTGCGAGCTAGACCCAAGTCACATCATTGAAACACATGGCAAAGCATATGTCCTTTCGTCGATCCATCTATCATCCCTCTACGTTGTTCGCCTCGTCTTTCGGCCACGCGATTCGAAGCCTTCAAACTTCAAACCTACAAACCCGAAAGCCCAAGTTCTGAAACTCAATGCCGGCGATCCCCTGATTTGCCTTGAGAGGAAAGCATGCGGTTCAACGATGTTTTCGGCATGCGGTTTTGTCGGGTCAGTTTAATCGGTATCCACAGGGCAATCGAGGTGCCCGTCAGTCAACCTACATACAGAGGATGATTGGGGGATTCTTGTGAAAACAAACATCACAGCTGCATCAGCCGAGAGGTGGTCCAGCGAAGACCGATTCTTTGCAGCCAACACAGACACATGTAGCGGTGTGAGTCGCCACGCTCCAAGCGCAGCGGTTCAGGCCATCTCCAGCACTCGAGAGAGGCCACTGCATCCTGCATCCTGCCAGAGCAACTAGCGAAGCATACTGAAACCGCAATTCAGAGTCTCAAAGTTCAAGCTTCAAAGATTCCGTATGCATGGTTGGGGCTCTGAGCAGCTTGGGTACATGCTAATGGGATCTAATTCCGGCTACCGCGAACTTGCGCCGGAGCCCAGGCAAGTTTCAAAAGTTCCGAAGGTCTTGTGGATGGTTCCGCATCCTCAGCTGTATGTGCTCAGTTCGCTGGCAGCATAGAGGGAGGATTCCGTTTCGGAGCTGCGAGCCGCCAGTGATTAAAGGTTCTCAAGTTCGAGAACAGCTTCCGAGACCGCGGCTGGGTATCAAGCAAATAGAATGCTTTGCAGTCGAGCTAAAAATATGCACACATTACATGGTTGTCACAGGCCGATACGGTATACGGTATACAGGTCAGGTATCCTTCTCGGTGGACCCCTAGCACCTCCCCCCCGACCACATCCATGCCCACCTCCCAACATTTGCACCCACTTTCCAACCTGCACACGACACTCTGCTTGCTCCTTGTGCGGATTGTGCTGTGCTGGCCGGCGGCCACCTTCAATTTCTGGAAGTCCGGAGCGGACACAGCATGAATTTCACCGAGGGGGAGGGGGCTCATCTTTAAAATGGCTTCGACACTCAAAAGCTTTGTGACAAGGCTTGGTGAAATTGGCAAAGCCAGTTGGAGGGCTCTGCGGCCGGTTGCGTGAGAGACGGCATGAGACTGCGCTCCTCCCATGAGCACTTGGCGGAGTCAGTGGGATACTTGCTCGTGGCAAGCGGACGCGGTAGGCGACTTCATGCCTGAAGGTGGCATCACAAGGGCGCAGTACCGTGCAGCCGCTTGAGCTGCTGGCACGGATCGGATTGCCGTTCCCTATACACCGTTACACCCGACACCTTTTTACACCCCTGCACCTCCCCCTGCACCGCAACAGCATGCATCTCTCTCTGACTGACACACACACACACATACATATACAGAGACAGAGACAGAGACAGAGACAGAGACACAGACAGAGACACAGACA